CCCGACATAATAACCGCTTTCTCCAACAAGAACAAATGCTGACGACCATTGACGAAGATGAGCTCGAGGATGACGATGCGGATGAACTTGAACCGGAGACGGGCGATGGTGACGGCAACCACGACGAGGCGGACGAGCCCACCTCATCCCAACCCGGTAAGAAAAAAAGTAAATCTGAACTAATGAAAAATAATTTTGATAAGTGGAAGGATGCACAAACCGGGTTTTGACACGCAATAGAAACGGGGGTAACAAAAATTATAGCTTGGGACCTCCAGCGGATACGGATCCGCCGCCAGGCATCTTAAGGCAAAGCACCCTGTGGAGTATGAAAAATTAGGCGGCGAAGCGGGGAAGCAAAGTCAAATATCGAGATTTGCGAATTCTCAACCTTTTGGTAATTTCTCATACAATGATGCACAAAATTTGGTTGGTATGGCTAACTTAATGTGTGAAGAAAATTTGCCTTATATGTTTTCTGAAAGTCTTGCTTTAAAGATTATGCATGTTGTAGTTTAAATCCTTAATTTAGAGGTTACAGTCGCAAAACTGTTAAAAAAGAAATTATAAGGCTTTATGGCGCGGAAAAGGCAAGGTTACAAAATATGTTTGCAAACTTTGATGGGCGTCTTACTATTTGTTCTCACATATGGGAGGATGATTTTCATCATTTAAATTATTTGGGTCTGACTGCACATTATATTGATGAGGATTGGAACATGCATAAACGTGTTCTTACTTTTTGTGAATTTAATGATCGTCACATTGTTGAACATATTTATATTTTGATTGAGCGTATAATTTGATTGATAAGGTGTTTCCTATTGGTTTCGATAATGCTACTAATAATACTGATGTTATACTTAGATTGCGTGAATTGTGTAGTGCCAATAGTTTGATGGGTAGATTTTTTCATCAACGCTATGCATGCCATGTTATATATTTATGTGTTCAAGACGGTCTAAAAGCATCTTGGGGGGGTAGACGTATTTGGAGTAATGGTCAACTTAGATTTAAATGGCAAACTTATTTGACTGAAAGAGGTGTGAGATATGTTGCCTTTCCTAAAGATTTGAGTATTCGCTGAAATAGTACTTATAAATTACTTAAAGTTGTTCTTAGATAGAATGAACATTTTCCTGCTTTTTTAAAACAACATGATAACTATATTATAAACTCGGCTGAGATCGACACTTGCGAAAAAATTTGTAATGGTTTGATTTTTTTTAATGCAATTGAAATTTTTAGTCATGTTTATAAACCTACCGCAAACCAATTTATTCGTGAAGCTGTTAATCTCGCCAGTGCTTTTAAAGAATTTGAGAATGCCGTTTTCGTGAGTTATTTTTGTGATTATATGAAGGAAAAGTTTTTAAAATATTATGCACATATTCCACATATTTATGGTATTGCATTTATTCTCGATCCTCGTTTTAGACTAGCTAATATGAAAGATTGTTTCAACTTCTATTATCTTGCTTCTTTTGGTGAATTTCCCATGTCTGACGATACCCATAGATCCGAAAACGGAATGCAACGAGGTTAGTGATTTACTTTATGCCTTATTTAATGAGTTTCATGCACAATATGGCAATGCGTCCCTCTCTCGACACGAACATCTTCATCTAAAGAAAAATCAATTTTTAAATCTGCATTTGGCAATCTTATGAAAAGAACTAAAACAACTCATGCTACTGAACAAAGCGCAGTAAATGAGATTACTTTGTATTTAACATATAAAGTTGAATTTGAAGAAAATGATGACTTTGACGTTCTAAACTGGTTGAAGTAAAAAAAAAGACTGTTCTCGATTTCAGCACGGATGGCTAAGCAATTGCTATCAATGACGGTTTCAACAATTGCCGTGGAACAAGAATTTAGTTCGGCCGGCAACGTCCTAACTACATCTAGAACGAGATTGAGCGCAAACTCTATTGTAGGGATGGACTCGGGCCGGGTCAACCGGCCCGAAACCGGACCGGCCCAATACTGTGCGGGACCGTACCGGCCCGGTGAACCGGTTAGTGCCTGGTTCGGGCCACCCGGCCCAGTGGGCTTCGGTTCCGGGCTCGGGCCCTCTATTTGGTGAACCGGCCCGGCCGGTTCGGGCCGAATTTATTTTTTTTATTTTTTGAATTTTTTTTAAGTTTTTGGGTTGGGCTGGGTATTTTGGGCAATTCGAGGCGGTTTGGGGTGGTTTGGGGGTGAGGGGGATGGGTTGGGGGTTAAATAGGAGAAGCAAAAAAAAAAGGGAAAACTGTCAAATGGGTCCTCGAACTTTCATAAAAAGATCAATTAAGTCCTTCTATAGGAGGTTCTGTCCGGCCGTCGCGATTTGGGGCAGTTCCCGGTGGAGTTTTTTGATGAAATTTTTTGAGCATCTTATTCACCAAGTCTAGTTTACTCATACCAAATTTCAGCTAAAAATTCAATCGGGAACACATTCAAATTAATTCTTGAAGATAACTGCACATTTTTGCGTTCTTGAATTAATTTGAATGCGCTCCTGATTAATTTTTTAGCTAAAATTTGGTATGAGTAAACTATACTTGATGAATAAGATGCTCTAAAAATTTCATCAAAAAATTCCACCGGGAACCGCCCCAAATCGCGATGACCGGACAGAGTCTCCTATAGAAGGACTTAATTGATTTTTTTATGAAAGTTCGAGGACCTATTTGACAGTTTTCCCCAAAAAAAAACAAAACGGGTGGCCCGGCCACCGGACCCAGAACCGGTGGCTACCGGTTCGGGCCCAACAAAACAGAACCGCGAACCGGCCGGGCCCAGGCCCGAATCGGGCCCGAACCGGAACCGGTCCACCCCTACTCTCTTGAGACGCTTATATACTACCACGATTGGTTGAAGGCCGCACCGTAAAACTCAAGAAATGAGCATCACCCCTCCCAAAACTCTATGGATGACTCAACAAGCGATAGTGGTTCTACCTATGCCGGAGATTTCGATTAATTAGTATTTTGGAATTTATTACTCCCTCTGTCCCGCTATGATTGTCCCATTTTACCTTTTCGGTCCGTCCTACTAAGATTGTCTCATACATTATTTGGTAAAGTTTGTGTGGTTCTAAATCATTCCTACTTTATTCTTACTTTATCAATTTAATATCAACCACATAAACTCACTTTTATTAATAATCGTGTCACATTCTCTTGTCCCAAACTTAAGGGGACGGAGGTAGTATAAAATGTATTTTATGTTTTAATCTTTCCCTCAATTCTCAATTGTAATTTGAAAACTTGTACTTCATATTTCAAATAAATGTGCGTTAAGTTTTTCATATTTAGCACACCTCAAATTAATTAATTGGCTACAAATTTACAATTAATTTTCTAAAGATTGTTTTTAAATTAAAAATAGTTTTACAATATGTAAATTGTTTAAATACACCTTATACACTTACACACCTATTTTGTAACAATTGTAAATTATAAATCAAACAAATTTTCTAAATAAAAATAGCTTTACTTAATTCATTAAATTAATTAACATATTTTACAATATATATAATTTTCAAATAAAAAATTAAATAAAAAATTAAAACAAAAAGCTCCCAAACGGCTATATAGCCGTTGGGGCTTTGGGTGGGGGGCAGGGGGGTCCCGGGGTGGTGGTGTGGCCAACTCTTCTCCATCTTTAAATACATCTATTTTCTAACATTTTTCTACACCTCTTCCCCAACTCTTTTTCATCTTCATCCTTTCTTGTTATCCTACACCCCCAAATCTTCCCTTATGCAAAACAATTTTGATATGTGGAAGGACCCGAAGACCGGGCTGTGGCAGGCAATTTGCAAGTGGTGCAAGAAAGAGTGTATCTTGAGACGTTCACACGGATACAGAATGTCGACAAAACATATGAAGTCTTGTGACAAAGGCAAAACAACCACCAACGGTAGCAGAAATTCCGATTGATATTTATTAATTATTAGAAAATGTATTTCATATTGTAATTTTTTTCTCAATTATCAAATATAGTTCCCATTTCAAACATATTGTACTTTGTTTTTAATAAGAATTTGTATAAACTATAATTTAAAAATAATGTAAACATGACCCGGCCCGGCCCAGCGGGTGGCCCAACCAGTGACCCGGGTGGGTGACCCAGCCAGAACCGGCACCGGCCATAGCACAGGCCGGTCCCGGGCCTCCCTAAAAAAACCTAAGGCCCAACCGGGCCTAGGCCCGGCCCAGATCCATGACTGATAACTTATTAGTTAATACTTGCCTCAACCCATATCCAACACAGCCCAACCCAAATACTTATCTGTAAAGGGTCGAACTTAATAGTGATCGTCACCTCATTGTAGGGGTGGACCGGGACCGAGTTAGGGCGGCCTGGGCAAACTCGGGCTTAAGAAATTCAAACTAGGGACCAACCTGGGTTTTTACCAAGACCGGATCGGGCCGGATCTAAATAGTACTGGATCAGGTTAGATTTCAGGCGGAACTAAGCAATAAATTAAAAAATAGTGTAACTGGACCCGGGCCCGATCCAGACTTAGCCGGGTCGGGCCCAAAAAAACGAGCCCAAAGCCTGCCCTTATAGCCACCGGGTCGTGCCTGGGCCAATACCAGGCCTGAAAAAATAGCGGGACGAGTCAGGCCTGCACAGTGCCAGGCCAAACCATCAAAGGTCAGGCTTACCCAAACCATCAAAGGTCAGGCTTACCCATGCTGGTCCATCCCTAGCTCATAGTTTCCAAAACAAAACCCAGTAATACATAGTCTCGATCATTCCGCGTGTGTTTTAAAGGACCGGTTTTATTCAAGGCAGCATTCCAGTAACGATCCAGTCGAATATAACCTAGAAGTCAATGACTACAAACCTACAATGGTTATTGGCTACATTCCTTTGATTGACCAAGTTATCTTCCAAACAATGTTTTGGGACTTTGTACTTGGTGGCACAGTACAAACCAAACTCATGCCGTAGAACGTGCCTAATTTTAGGATAGTAGAAACTGATTTTCTAATATGAACCACGGAATACATATAAGCTAGTGTTGACGGGAAACGAGGCATGCATCAAACCATATACTTTAATAAATGTCGAAAAAACAATGGGCAACCAACCATTGTAAGAAAATGCACGGATCAAAATGATACTCAGGAATGAAAAATAAACATGGCTCAATATTCTTACTTATTCCAAAACATGTTCTGTCAAAACCATAGAACCTGAAACTTATGAAATGCTACATTTGGAAAATGAAAGCATATGGGTCTGGTACTGAAGAGCCAAAAGCTTTCTCTTAGTTGGAAGCAGAATCGATGTGACGGATCAAATCAATCACACGGGAACTGAAAAAAGAAAAAAAAACTTGAGTTACAATTTATATGCAAAAGGCATGTCTGGCTGCGTACAGTAACAGTATGCTCAAGTTATTTACCTGTAACCCCATTCGTTGTCATACCACGAAACAAGTTTGTGGAAATTCTTGTTCAAAGAAATGCCAGCCTTTGCATCGAAGATGCTTGACCTGCAATAATACCACACAAATTTCCTCTAATGATAAGAATTTCACCAAAAAAACAGTTATTTGGGGATCAAATAAAATGAACCAACCAACGATTTACCTGTTATCTCCAACAAAGTCCATGGACACCAAATCATCTTCAGTGTAACCCAAAATGCCTTTCAAAGGTCCATCCGCTGCTTGCCTATATGGATAAGAAAATTAAAAAAAATGCTGAGGGAAATAAAGCGGCTCGAACTTTGAACCCAATAAACTTACTATTGAATATTTGTTCACATTCATCTTTATTTACTCATTCTTATTATATAAATACTATAAAAACGTATATGAAACCAAGGTAAAACTAAACATAGATACAAAAAATCATGCTATAATGTGTTATGGAACATACTTGATAGCCTCCTTGATTTCTTCATATGTGGCTTCTTTCTCAGTTCTCACGGTGAGATCAACCACTGAAACATCCACAGTTGGGACTCTGAAGGCCATTCCAGTCAATTTTCCATTGAGGGCTGGTAGTACTTTCCCAACAGCCTACACAACACAACGTGTATGCAGATTAAACAAATATTGATCAAAAGTCAGTGTAAACTGAAAACAAGGTGGGAATTCACAAACCAACTATACAGAAATACATTATTATAAATAATGTCACCTTAGCTGCTCCAGTACTGCTAGGAATGATGTTGAATGAAGCAGCTCTTCCACCTCTCCAGTCCTTCATGGATGGACCATCAACAGTCTTCTGGGTGGCTGGAAAAAAACGAAGCAATAACATCAATACTGAGATAAGTAAACATGATACCAAAAGGATGTAGAGGTACTACAACTAACCAGTGATGGAGTGGACAGTAGTCATGAGGCCCTCAACGATGCCAAACTTATCATTAATGACCTACAGAGCAATTAATTAACTTATATACAGGCTGCATTTGCCACAATCCACAAAAAGGAAAAATCAGGCCATTCATGTACCTTAGCCAAGGGTGCAAGGCAGTTGGTAGTGCAACTGGCATTGGAAACAATTTGAATATCTGGCTTGTATTCTTTCTCATTCACTCCCATCACAAACATTGGGGCATCTTTGCTGGGAGCAGATATCACAACCTTCTTAGCACCACCCTGATCAAACATTGGAGCATATAACATATAAGCTTTAAAGGTATTAAACGTGCCGCCAAATGGAACAAATAATTCAATGTGGGAAAATCTTATTAGTCAAACTTACTTACACATCTAGAAATGCATAGCTTTGTTTTAAAGATACAATTCAAAATAAAGGTTCTATATAACTACCAATTGGGATGGAGTTCTCAAAATGAAGTGCGTTATAAGTTAGAATCAGTGAGATGATCATCAACCAGATGTAAGGTATCACAAAATGATGTTAAATTACCCTAGTACAAAAGAAAAAAACTAATAACGGAGATAAATACTGAACCTTCAAGTGTGCAGCAGCTTTGTCCTTGTCAGTGAAGACTCCAGTTGACTCCACGACGTAATCAGCACCAGCTGCAGCCCATGGGATCTCTTCTGGGTTTCTGAAAAAGAAGTAGGTGACTTTGTCACAAAATTCAACATAACAATTCTTCAAATCTAAACACTGAAAATCCCAGATCTGGAAAAACAAACTGGATACCTGAAGCCAAAGACCTTAACTTCTTGTTTACCGAAAAGAAGTGATTTTTCGTCCTTGATCGTCAATTCATGGTGCTTCCATTGACCATGTACGGTATCATACTTGAACATGTATGTCTATAAGAACCAAAATTTCATTATCTTTTAATATTCCACAGAATCCTCAAATCTGGAATAAAAATACAGATCTGCATCATAGACCAGCCAAACAAAAACAAAATTACCATGTAGTCGGTGGTGATGAACGGATCATTGACAGCAACAAGCTCAATATCATTACTCTGAAGAGCCACCCTTGCGACCAATCTTCCGATCCTTCCGAATCCTGAAGCAAGATCAAACAACTTAACATCATTTCCGCTTCTATTCGTATCAAATCCATGACCAACGAAACAGAGAACAAAAAACAACTCAACGAACGAACATAGATGCGTACCGTTAATTCCGATCTTGATCTTTGCCATGGTAGAGGTTAAGGCGATCTAGAGAGATTTCAGAGACGTGATAGGGTTGAGGCTTGGATTAGGTGAAGATTATCAGAAGCGAGAGGATGTGAGAAGAGGAGATTCGTGGCTGTATATTAACGAAGTTCGGGGGGTAGGTCACGTGACTGGTGACCGTGCTTTTCCATGTTTTGTATCGCCTTTCCTTAGATTTCGGCTCACCGGTTCCCACTTCCCAATCGAATTTTCCAGAAGAGAGAAAAAATATCGAGGAATATTGGTTTGGGAAGTAAAAAATGTTGTCAAATAAATAAATAAATAAATAAATAAATAAATAAATAATAACATTGCCTGTGTTTAAAGAAATGAACAGAATAAATTAAAATTGAAGAATAAGTTTATTGTTCGATATCTTTCAAAAAACAGTGTATTGTTTGATTTAAGTTATGTTTGGAAGAACAAATTGAAATTTCGTGCTTTGTCTGAATTGGGAAACGTCGTATAAAGTCGAATAAGAGTTGTTAAAATTCATATATTGACTCCATGAAATAGCTAGGTTGTTCAGACAATTTAATTATTTAAACAATGACTGAATGATGTAAAATTGTTACCAAAACAAATGCTTTAATAGAAACGAGATAATTTTGAATAACAGAGGAAATATTTGATAGGAAATACCTATTTTGAAATGCTACAATTAGAAACGTTTCAAAACAGCTAATCAAATTTGATGTTAATTTATTTCAATTCTTCATCTAAACAAAACTGCATGTCAACTATAGCTCAAAATTTTCTTCCAAAAAAAAAGTATGGCTCAAATGAGTTGAAATGGTCATATACGTACAACCTTACATATTACGAAGTACAGAGTATTATTTTGAGATAAGATGAAAGCTTATAAAATTTAAATGTCAACTATAAGAAGCAAGTTTGTTTGGCTTCATATCTCATAAAACTAATGACATATTGAGAGATGTAAAACTATTATACAAGTTATTGACGGAGTATATGATCCAGGACCCCCTGGCCCACATACTCATGCAATCCAGACATTCAGTGGAAGCCCTCGGCAGCACCTCTGCCATGATGTCCTCAGTACCCCTCGGCTATGATGCCCTCGGCACCCCTCGGCTATGATGCCCTCGGCACCCCTCGGCTATGATGCCCTCGGTACCCCTCGGCTATGATGCCCTCGGCACCCCTCAGCTATGATGTCCTCGGCACCCCTTGGCTATAATGTCCTCGGTACCCCTCGGCTATGATGTCCTCGATACTCCTCGGCTATGATGCCCTCGGCCATACATGAAGCCTTTGACCATACATGAAGCCTTCGGCCAATAATGAAGCCTTCAGCCATATGATCCAGGCCGAAGGGTCTACGCTCTACGAAGCTTCCTCTGGAGACAAGCAACCACCGCATTCAATGCGGCGTCACATCCACCCACCGCATTTAATGCGGTGCACATGCGAGTGTCGGTCCGATTGAGGTGACCCCTCGGCCGTCAGATTGTTGACACGTGTACTCTCATCGCACTTATGGCTGCTATAAATAGCAGCCCTTATTCCTCTTGTAAAGGATCCCAGAACAAGTTCATTTAATATACTTGGCTCTCTCTCTTACTTGCTTGCTCTGACTTCTCTCTAGGTTATTCCCCGCAATAACCCCTCGGATAAGCTACCCCCGGGTACACTGTCCATCATTTGGTGCTCTCGTTGAGAGTTTGAACAGAATCAAGTGAGAAACCCTCCTCGCTTAACCAAAAACTCTACCAAAATCACAAAAAATTCTTCCCAATCACAAAATTCGACCAAGAAACTGTTATGTAAATATAAAAAAATAAAGCGACGAACAAGATCTGAAAGTTTGGGATTTCCCAGGCAGGAGCCGGAGATGTCTTCGCCGGAAAGGTCATCGCCCTACCTGGCGCTGTACGCCGATAGTGGAAGCTTGTCACCTGCTGAAACTCACCAGCCTTTCCCAGGTCTGACCTGAAGCTACCCCACGCCGTCCACTGCAGCTCGCAGCACCAAGTACGAGCTCCTCCGTCACGACCTTGTCAGCATCGCTCCGAGCCACTGCGCCACTGCACTGCTCTCCATCACGGCACGACTAACGGAGCCTGGACTCCGGTCACCATCTCCATAGTCATCGTTTTCAGCTTCTGAAGCTGCAACTTCAGGTATCCACCATTGATGGCCGCTAGGAAACTCTGCTCTCGAACCATAAGCAGACGTGGAGGGAGCATGGCCGTTTCTGCTGAGAACCGGAACTGTCACGATTGACGCAGGCACGCAGCTCAAGCATCCACCGGTCAAAGACTCCCTAAGACGCCAAGACGTGCTCCGCCTCTCCCAACACCCTGTCGTCCGTCGCCGGGGTCTGCCGGATTCGCTCGCCATATCCAATAGAAAAACCTGGTAAACCTCTGGACGAAATGCTCTGAGCTGACGGCGATATCCCCTCCCTTTCCGGTGACGTCGAGGAAATGGCTGCTTCCGCTTTAATCCAGACCCAATGCCAGTTGCGGGAGATGAAGGGCTAGGCTTCTCTAAGGCTTGCCAGCGAGACCTCTGCCATTAGTATGGCCGTATGGGTCCATGGGAACAAGACTGCAGAGCTACCGCCATCTCCTCATGGGACAATTCCAGCTAATCCAGCTAGCGTGACAGAACTCTGGGGCATCTCCTCTGGTTTATCTTCTCAACACTTGGGGCGGACAGAACTCGGCAAAAGCTGGGTCAAAATTGGTCAATAAGTCAAAATGACATTTTTATACGGACCAAGACTACATCAAGCCCAAGATTGATTCTCACCAATAATAATGAGCCGGACCATTTTTGGGCAAGTTCTTTCAAAGGGCTGGATTTCAACCCATCAAATATTTCAGCCCACTTTAAAAAGATAAGTACACTTTAATTTTAACATTATTTATATTTAATTAAATCATTTTTTTTGTCGGTGAATGTCACACTATCACACACTTATGATCAAAAGCCTAGTAGAGTGTGGCTTGAGACCCATCACTAGGATTTAAAGCCCTGACTCTCAGGCACAAAGCCCTGACTCTCAGGCACGAAGACCGGTCTTAGTCATTCCTCGAGTGGCGACCGTTGCTTACGAATGGCTCACACATCCATTCTACTAAGTATTTTATCATTACATTGACAATTCACATCTCCACTTGTTTCAAGTGACGAACTCCCGATCGGGAACATAAATCCCAAGAAAGAATTTATATGTATGTTAAATGTGTAGGTACAGAGATGACTTTACTCATTTTCACCTCGTCTCCACTCTCCTCAAAGAGTGGGGATTGGGGGACTGAGGGGTCAGAATTTCTAGATGAGCAGAAAATATCACGCATGAGCAGGAACGAGAGCTGAGTCGGTTGAAGATGAGTTGAGCTAGATTGATTATGCCGGAGGAGACTTACCTTCCTTGTTTTATGTTGGGGACGCTAGGTGTACTCTTTTTCCCTTTATTAGGATTTTTCCCACTGGGTTTTTTCCTAGTAAAGGCTTTTAACGAGGCACCTCCCCATCATGGACAAGGGTGGTGGTCCCCCGGCCGAAGAGGAAGAAACCAAAGACAGAAGAACGTTGCAGCTACAGTTTGGACTACTCCCTTTCACCTCGAGAACTCTCGGCTCAGGGAGTGGGGGACTCCTGATGGAGTATATGGACTCCGACCCACCGGTCTACCGACTATTGGGCCTGGACAGCGGCCCACACACGTTTAGCATATTCATATTATTGTACATTATTATTCAGATGTTCTAGATTAGCTTTTTATACTATCAGTCCATTTATGTAACCGGGCCTGTCAGGCCCATATTAGAGGCCCAGACCCGGATTTTCCCTATATATACTCCCTTATGTAAGGCTTGTAAAGATAACTCAAGAACTCACAGTTCATACACAATACACATTTTCTTCTTCTTCTCCATTACTCTTCTTGATTATTGTTCAATCTCTCCTTAGTTATAGGATATGGGTATCAATTATCCAACAATGGTGCTCTCGTTGAGCATCAATGAGATCATTGGTCTCAACGTGATCATCTGTCTCAAGACCGGCCTCATCCCCTCATGCACTTCATGGATGAGGACCGTTGCATGGATTTCAGGATCGGCCCCTCAGTGCTGACATCCTTGCATCACGGCAGACCCCTCGGCCTCGACGTGATCATTTATATGATGACACGGCAGACCCCTTGGTCTCAACGTGATCATTTGTCTCAAGACCGGCCTCATCCCCTCACTTCATGGATGAGGACCGTTGCATGGATTTCAGGACCGTCCCCTCAGTGTCGACGTCTTTGCATCACGGCAGATCCCTCGGTCTCAACGTGATCATTCATATGATGACACGGCAGACCATTTGGTCTCAACGTGATCATCTGTCTCAAGACCGGTATCATCCTCCCACTTCATGGATGACGACCGTTGTGTGGATTTCCGGACCGACGCCCTCATGACCATCCCCTGGCCCTCATGACAGGGAGTTGGCCCTCATCGTGTGGTCTCTATGCCAGCGCGTGGCCCTCACATCAGCGCCCTCATGACCAGCGTGTGGCCCTCACTCCAACGCCCTTATCTTCAGCGCCTGGACTTCATACCAGTGCCTTCATGCTTAGTGTGTGGCCGTCATGCTCAGGCATGCTTTTAGCATTGTGCCCTCATGCGATTGGGGTTCCCATCCCTCCCTGGATGGTGACTGACATTCATGTTATTTCCATGTTTATATTTGTGCTTTTGATTAGTTTTGAGTGATTATTACTCTAGAAATTACACACTTTTGGTGTAATAGTTTAGTTTGTAAAATGTTTGTAAATTGTTTAGATTAGATTTGTTCTGAGCTCAAACAGGTCCAAGACCACTCTAGGGACCATTGGTGAACATCACAAGTGGAAGGAAGGTGCAAAAATTCCCAAACAAAATGAAGATCCTGATTTTTGGTGTTGTACCCGGTCGAGTATACCCTATACTCGATCGGGTAAGTTGCTAAAAAGTCAAATCAAATCAACCCGGGAACAAGGCAACATGCAGGAAGATTTTTAACTCGATCGCGTATCCATACCCGATCGGGTAGCCGACATACCCGATCGGGTATGACCCCAGATTTTCAGTTTCGAGGAAACTAACCCTTACCCGATCGGTTGAGCTGAAAACCCGATCGGTGTGCACGACCCTGCAGGCCTAAAAAGCCTATAAATACACCCCATTTCCTCCACAAGAAGATGACCAATTCTTAT